CATTGACCTCTATTCTGTGCGGAGCTAAGTGCTACACTGTTGTGGAGCCATCTCTAGAATCCGTACGAGTCACCTCTTGAATCCGTACCTCTGTTATGTGCGGACCAAAGTGCTGTGCGGAGCTAAGTGCTACACTATTATGGGAGCTACCTCTAGAATCCGTACGATCCACCTCTTGAATTCGTACCTCTGTTCTGACTGTCACTTATGTGACCTCTGTTCTGTTATGTTCTGTACCGTGGTTATAGTTATATATTTACATAATATCTGTATTTTAGTTTCTGCTACTTAAATGATTTATTTACCATGTTGAGTTATATAAATGTTTTGGCCTAACTAACTATCCATGATTATTTCTTGTCCCTTATACTCTTGGAATAATATTTCTCATTCTGCCATGTACTTATAGTTTTTTTTATCAATTTTCAGGAAACATGCAATTCAGAAATGACTTTTTGAAAAATCGGGTTGCGGAATAGACACACACAGTATTTTTATGATATTATTTATATGTAAATATCGGCTTTTTTGATCAATATATTTTGTAATAAAAATAGAAACTCCAATGATTATTTTCGTACCCTTACTTAAATATTACTTCCGATTGCATTTATTTATTTGTTCAAGAATTGGCCGTAAGTAACTTCAGCTACTGGCCATCACGATGCTTAACCCTTGGGTATAGGGAGCGGGTCGTGACAAATGGTATTAGAGCAATGGTTTTTAAAATAAATAAAAAAAAAACATCATTGGAGTATAGGACACACGCACATTTAGGAAGTAGGATAGCGGGTAATTAGTACCGAATTATTATATTTTATTTGTTGATTTAATTATATTATTATTTTATATGATTATATATATAATAATTTTTTTTAGGTGCATAATTTGTGAAGAATATTCGATATAATTTATATTTGTTATAGTAAAAAAAGGACAAGAACAGAAGGATGTCGGGTTCAATAACCTACCAAAATTATAATATAATTAAATATATATAATTTTCAGTTTAGTATTCAAAAAAAAAATTTATTTTGATGTTTTTAAAAGTGGGTTCAAATTATAAAGATATTAATTTTGAAATTATTTCCCATAAATGAAAGGTTCATCTCAATTTTTTTCAACTCTTGCATATGATTCTGTTATTGTATTCTCATTTTATTTATTTTTATTTATTTTTTATCGTAAACAAAACGAGTGAAAAGTTTTTAAAGTCGCCCATTATTTCACATTTTGGCCCAAATCAATTTTTGACAGCTAGACAGTGAATTATGTTTGGTAAAGTTTTTTCTTGAGGTAATATTTTCTATCAGATTAATCATCTAACATATATTTATTAGAGTGCGCAGCGGATAGCTTATGCATATGACAAATTTCGAGGATGAAATTTTAAAAGGAGGGAAGATTGTAACAATCTAGATTTTTAATTATTCTGTAGAATTTATACTAATATTATTTAATCTCGGCTCGAAAAATATATAATTTATTATACATTATTATGTGTAATTTTGTAAAATAATATAATTATTTAAAAGTTTAGGGATCAAAATATAAATAATAATAATAATAGTTGATGTAGTAGTAAAATAAATAATTTATTTTCTGTTAGTATACGATAAAGTGTAATTTAATTAGAAATTAATTTATTTATATAATTATATTAAAATATTGAGTCAAATAGTAATTATCTTAAATATCTATTAAGGATAAGAATAAATTTATATAATTATGAATTAAATCTGAACGGAAGTTACGCCTGCCACGTGTTGAACGCCTGTGGCGTCCTCCTCCCGTAGGGAGGAGTTGATCAACCTGCGTGAAGAAAGAAAAGAAAAGAAAGAAAGAAAAAGAAAGAAGAAAGAAAAGAAAAGAGAGAGAAGGGCAGGGAAGAGAGGAAAGGAAAGAAAAAATAATGAAAGTTAAAGGGGTTTTTGATAGTGGAAAGAAAAAGTAAGGTATTACAATTAAGATGAGTTATATTATATGTTGAGTTACCAAAATATATTTTATTTATGTTTTGACTTACCAAAATCTATTTTATAGAAGTTAGGTTTTATTAATATATTAATAAAAGTTATGTTTTATAAATGTTTCAGTTATATGGTTTTATTTCTAAACCCTATTTGCTTAAAAGGAAATCCATGGGTATGTTTGTTTATATTTTAAAGAATATTTGACTATGACCTTATAAATAATTATGTTTTGTAAGTACTACCACGGGAGTCCCACGCCTTGGAGACTTAAATAACCATTGGCCTTTGTTTGATCACTTTGTGGTCCTCTGTCTGTCATTGATCCATTGACCTCTGTTCTGTGCGGACCAAAGTGCTGTGCGGAGCTAAGTGCTACACTATTGTGGGAGCCACCTCTAGAATCCGTACAAGCCACCTCTTGAATCCGTACCTTTGTTCTGACTGTCACTTCTGTGTCCTCTGTTCTGTTCTGTACCGTGGTTATGGTCATTTACTTACATAATATCTGTATTTTAGTTTCTGTTACTTAAATGATTTACTTACCAAATTGGGTTATGTAAATATTTTGGCCTAACTAACTATCCATGGTTATTTCGTGTCCCTTATACTCTTGGTATAATATTTCTCACTCTGCCATGTGCTTATAGTTGTTTACCAATTTTTAGGAAATAATGCAAGTCAGAAATAGCTTTTGGAAAGTCTTAGATGCAGGGCTCCGGATTAGACACACACAGCACTTTTGATATTATTTTTATATGTAAATATCGACCTTTTGGCCAATAAAATTTTGTAATAAAAATAGAAGCTCCAATGATTATTTTGGTACCCTTACTTAAATATTCCTTCCGCTCGCGTTTATTAATTTGTTTAAGAATTGGCCGAAGGTAACCACAGTTACTGGCCATCACGATACTTAACCCTTGGGTACGAGAAACGGGTCGTGACAAAATAGATCCATGATAAACAGAGGACCACAAAGTGATCAAACAGGAGCCAATGGTTATTTAAGTCCCCCAAGGCGTAGGACTCCCGTGGTGATACTTACAAAACATAATTGTATATAAGGTCATAGTCAAATATTTTTTAAAATATAAACAAACATATCCATGGGTTTCCTTTTAAGCAAATAGGGTTCAAGAGATAAACCACGTACCTAAAACCTTTATAAAATATAACTTTTATTAAAAACATAACTTGTATAAAACAGATTTTGGTAAGTTAAAACATACGTAAAATACATTTTGGTGAGTCAAGGTATAATATAATTCACCTTAACTGTAATACATTACTCTTTCTTTCCACTATTAAAGACCTTTTTAGCTTCCATTATTTTTTTTTTCCATTCCTCTCTTTCCTTTCATTCTCTCTCTTTTCTTTTCTTTCTTCTTTCTTTTTTTCTTTTCTTTTCTTTCTTCACGCAGGTTGATCAACTCCTCCCTTAAATTAGGAGGAGGACGCCACAGGCACTCAACATGTGGTAGGTGTCGCTTTCGCTCAGATTTAATTCATAATTATATAGATTCATTCTTATTCTTAATAGATATTTAACATAATTACTATTTGACCTAATATTTTAATATAATTATATAAATAAATTAATTCATAATTAAATTATACTTTATCATATACCAACAGAAAATAAATTATTCATTTTACTACCACACCCATTATTATTATTATTATTATTATTATTATTATTATTATTATTATTTTGACCCCTAAACTTTTAAATAATTATATTATTTTATAAAATTACGCATAATAATGTATAATAAATTATATATTTTCCGAGCTAAGATTAAATAATATTAGTATAAATTCTACAGAATAATTGAAAATCTGGGTTGTTACAGGAGGACTGGAAATATATGATTGATGTTGCTTCGAAAGACGAATCTCACTTGGTAAAAAATTAATTACAAACCCCATTATTGAAATTAATTTATGTTTTAATATGTAAAAATTGTTCACTAATTATTTATTTATTTATTTATTTATTTTGTTCCTATTTTTTTAGAAACGCTCAAGAGCTGGTAAAGCAAATAGGGGTATGCTCCCCTATAATCATACAAGTGGATCGTGATCATTTCCTAAAGCAATGTCGCTTATGGTGAGAAGTTAATTTAGTAATGTAATGGATGATTGATTCTTCTTGATTCTGAATATTACAATGTACTAATTCGTCAATGGAAATTTTCCAAACGTAACAGGCAAATAAGGATGGAGATATAGATTTCCCCGAATTTTACAAGAAAGCACACAAATCCAAGAAGACGGGAGATTGGATTGACCCCAAATGTGGTGAGCTACATGTGAGTATTGAATGTCGAAACCAAGTGTGAAGCATATCAATTAATAAAGTTGTTTTAAATTCCTTGTCCCATGTTGACTTTATTGTTTTCTTGCCATTACAGGATGATATGGTGAATCTACAAGTAACAGCCACCGATGCGGGATTGCCATTGACCCACAAAGAAATATCAAGGCAAGTGCTTGGGGGAAAAAAAAAATACTTGCGTGGATGTGGGATAGGCCCACAACCATTTTCCACAGCTTCTAGTGCGGCACGAGCACGTGATAAACATATGGAGTCAATGAGAGCGGAACTGGAGGTTCTTCGTGAGTAGCGTCAAAGTGATCACGAGGAGTTATTGAAGGAGAAAAAGGAGCGTCAAAAAGATCGAGAGGAGCTATTAAAGGAGAAAGAGGAGCGGCAAAGAGATCGGGGAGGAGCTATTGAAGGAGAAAGAGGAGCGGCAAAGAGATCGGGAGGAAATTACGAGGGAAAAAGAACAGTTGATCAAACAAGTCGATAAAGAAAAAAAGCACGGGAGGCATAACAAGTACAACTCAATCATTTGAACGACGTGGTGTCCCGTCTCACAACCCTATTGGAGGGTTCAGATGGTCATCCTACTATTCGGTAAACAGAATTTTGTTTGACAAGCTAGTTCAACTTTTACAAAAAATATGGATCATATCCACATAGAATTCTTTTCTAAAGTTGCAATGCAAATTTTGTTTTTGTTATGTGCTTCGAATAGGTTTTGAGGCATAAAGTGAGTAGACTTTGCAGCAGCCGACGTGGTGCTTTGCTACAGTAGACAGAGGACCGTAATCTGATTCCCATAAGGTAACCACATGATTTCAATGAAATATGAAGTTCCCCAAAAGCAAATACAATGAGCCTATGAATATGAGGCCAGTTACTATATTAACAGTGATATCCAATTGAATGTCATTTCAAATTTAAGACAAATTGCAGCAGCCAATTAAATTAGAATGAATTTTGATTTAGTACAATATAACAAGTACAACTTGACTGGTCTAACGTGCATAAAAGCCATGATTGGTTCATAGTGATGAGTTTGAGAGAGAGAAGAGCTTTGGGGTCTGTTAGTGGACAACAATTTTGGGTTGTAATCAAAAGGATGCTAATACAATTGTAATATTTGTTGCATAAAAAGGACGGTAATACGTAAAAAAAATTAATGAAACCCGCATTGTGCATTAGGAGTTATTGACATTGAATCATGACTTTATTTGGGTTGGGAACAACATAATTTCGGGTCTATTTCCCCCTATTGACCATGTTCAATACATTGGACAATTATGAGCTTCATTATTGTCATATTGGAAAAACGGGAGGTAGTTCAGTTAGTCTCCTCTGTAAAATGTCGTCTGACCAAAACGCCATAAACTTAGCCGAAAAAGGCCTTCGAGGGCCGAAATTTAAAAACAGCTCCCAAACCACTGTGGGGATGGCACAACTAGCTTTCTCGTGTCAAATAGGACCTATAGGGACAGACGGGACGTAATTAGCACGTGTACGTTGGGAGTTGGCGTGAAGAAGGCCATAAACTTAGCCGAAAAGGCCTTGGAGGGCCGAAAATTGAAAGAAGCCCCCGAACCAGTGTAGGGATGGCACGGGTGGCTTCCTTGTGTCAAATTGGACCTGTGGGGACAGACGGGAGGTAATTAGCATGTGTACATTGGGAGTTGTCGTGGAAAAGGCCATAAACCAAAAAAGGCCTTCGAGGGCCGAAATTTGAAAGCAGCCCCCAAACCACTGTGGGGATGGCACAGCTAGCTTCCTCGTGTCAAATAGGACCTATAGGGATAGACAGGACATAATTAGCACGTGTACGTTGGGAGTTGGCGTGAAGGAGGCCATAAACTTAGCCGAAAAAAGCCTTGGAGGGCCGAAAAATGAAACCAGCCCTCGAACCAGTGTAGGGATGGCACGGGTGGCTTCGTTGTGTCAAATAGGACCTGTGGGGATAGACGGGAGGTAATTAGCACGTGTACGTTGGGAGTTGTCGTGGAAAAGGCCATAAACTTAGCTGAAAAAGGCCTTGGTGGGCCAAAAAATGAAACCAGCCCCCGAACTAGTGTAGGGATGGCACAAGTAGCTTCGTTGTGTCAAATAGGACATGTAGGAACAAACGGGACGTAATTAGCATTGGTATGTTGGGAGTTGTAGTGGAAAAGGCCATAAACTTAGCCGAAAAGGCCTTGGAGGGCCGAAAAATGAAAGCAGCCCCTGAACTAGTGTAGGGATGGCACATGTAGCTTCCTTGTGTCAAATAGGACCTGTGGGGACAGACGGGACGTAATTAGCACATGTACGTTAGGAGTTGTCGTGGAAAATGCCATAAACTTAGCCGAAAAAAGGCCTTGGAGGGCCGAAAAATGAAACCAGACCCCGAACCAATGTAGGGATGGCACGGGTAGCTTCGTTGTGTCAAATAGGACCTATGGAGATAGACGGGATGTAATTAGCATGGGTACGTTGGGAGTTATCATGGAAAAGGCCATAAACTTAGCCGAAAAAGGCCTTGGAGGGCCGAAAAATGAAAGCAGCCCCCGAACCACTGTAGGGATGGCACGAGTAGCTTCGTCACGTGAAATAGGAACTGTGGGGTCAGACAGGACGTAATTAGCACGCGTACGTGGGGCGTTGCGTGAGAAACGCTATAAAGCTACACAAAAAATATATTAAAGCTTATATTGACTTTCGAAGTTGAAAGATAAGATACTTGACATTTACCACAAGTCTTGACTAGTTTCTGTTGCAATATTTAAATTGTTTCTATTGTTAGCATTTGCTTTGAACCTCTCTTTTCTGCCATATCCTTAAAAAAAACTCACGAAGAGAAGGACTTTTTCATGAAGTTGTGATGGCATGTATTAAAGCTTACAAAAATATATGTTCTATAAGCATCTCTATATATGTACATTTATGAATAAAAAATACATATATGTTTACACATTAGACTAACTTGACTTTAGGCTCATGCTTGACTTGGGAAGTTTCTTTGCACTTTAAATGTACACTTTCAATACAATTTAAAGTGTAAAGAAAGTATATTGAAATTCCTAAATTCAAACTATAGTTAAATACAATTTCAATTACAATTGATATCCTTGCAATTTGTGTTTTGTAGATGGCTATAACTTTTTGTTCACAATAGAACTAATGGGTGTAATTTTTGTTGTGTAGATGGCTTTTGGCATTAACATGTGGATCTATTTTTTTGCCCGGAAGATCATTCACAGTTTTGCAAATTTCAGAAGCTTTTTGTCTTCCTATACTATTTGTGTGGACTGTGGACCAATCGTACATATAATTTTTGACGGGGCACATAGTATTTTTGGAGCTTCTACTAATTGCCCTGGTCGTATAGAGTCAATGACGGGGTACATAGATCATTCACATCTGTTGTTGCTCCACATGTATTAATTGCTCTGGTGGTATATACATAGATTACCTTTTGTCGTGGTACATATTACCATGGTAATTTGTACCTTGGCAAATGGTCATTACAATACGTAGTATAGTAAAAATGTTGTGTAAGGAGGACATTGTTTTGGGAACGTATTTGGAATGTATGACGTTATTATTTGTAATTGAAATATATATAGTTGGTTTCTATATAAGTTTACATTAGCAGGTGTTCTTTTTTGTTTTATGGTTGTAAGTGAAACATGCATTACGGAATAGGTGATAATATATATAGGCTGTATACCTATTACAGGTTGCGGTGGATATAGGTTCTAACAAAATTTATTAAAATGAAAAAAACAAAATAAAAATTTAAAATAACGTTTTTGGTGACAAAACAATTAGTAGCCAAAAAAGAAATAAATCTTTTGGCGACTAAATATTTAGTAGCTAAAACAAATTGAAATATTTTTGGTGACTAACAAGTTTAGTAGCTAAAAATCAAATCATTTTTGGCGACAACAATTTTAGTTGCCAAAACAAATGAAAAACACTTTTGGCGACAACAATTTTAGTCGCCAAAACATAATAAAAAAGCATTGCTGACTAACTTGTTTAGTAGCCGAACAACAATGACCCTTTCCGCGACTACAGATTTAGTAGCTAAAATAAGAGTATTGGCGACAAAAGATTTCATCACCGTAGAGATTTTCAGTTTTCGCGACAAAATATTTAGTAGCTAAAGAAGTGAGTTAAATAATTAATAGACCCTTTGGGCGACTAATCTTTTAGTCACTAGTGTAGGTCATCGGCGACTAATACTTTTTTCATCGCTAATAGCTGTTACTTTTTCCTACTAACGTGTTAGTCGGCAATTTTGTAGTACTTTTGGCGACTAAATGTTCTTTAGTCGCTAATACCTTCGGCGACGATATATCCCTAACAAAGCTAGCGACCAAAGTATTTGGTCGGCAAAGCCTTTTGGCGACTAAAATTAGTACTTTTGGCGACTAATATTTTAGTCGCCAAAAGTGTATTTTCTTGTAGTGGGGTGTGGTCTGTGGTGTAGTTCTTGGGCTTTTTCTTGTAGTTAGTGTGGTTGTTTTTGTGGATTTTTTTGGTTATTTTTAGTTGTGGTGGTTGGGTTTTTTGTGGAGAGGGAGATTTTGGTGGCATTTCAGTGGATACAGACAAAGGACTGTCAAAAGAGGAGATACTTAAATCCTTAATTGAATTTTTGGGCATATGGGTTTGTTTCTTCCAATATCTTCCAACAACTGTTTTTGAAAAAATGAAAGCGATAGCAAGGCGTAAGTAATATAGTGACAAAACTGTATAATTTTGCAATTTCATATGCAGTTTAATATGAAGTTATATCTATTTGTTGTTAATAGTTACAAAACTGTATAATTTGACAGTTTGATTTGCACTTTATAATAAGTTACCTATTTGTTTTGAATAGTGATTAAACTGTGTAATTTTGTAGTTTGAATAAATTTAGATATGTTACTTGTAAAGTGATGAAACTGTCTGATGTTTCAGTTTTATAAACAGTATCAACAATAAGAACAACCCATTGTATTTTGTAAACAACAACAATAACAACAACAAGATTAAGTATTCAACGAAATGTAGTAACAATACGAAGAAGAAAAACCACTATTTAACAACAAGAAGAAGCAAGAACAACAAGAATAAGAACAAGGAGTTGAATGTGTAAAAACAGGGATTTATGTGTAAAAACAGGGGATTAGAATGTTTAAAAATAGGGACTAGAATGTTTTAAAATAGGGGATTATATATAAAAGAGGGTTTATACATTTTGAAATATGTAAAATGTGTTTTACAAGGTTTTTTTATGAAATTGTTATTGAAACGGTATATACGAAATATGAAAGAATAATGTACAAATTTGAATGAAAAATAATAGGTGAAGAGAGATATTGCTTTTTTTCCCTATTTCTGTGAATTGGAAGTCAAGAACTATGAAATTTCTTCAGAGTGGTGATAGTTCTTCGTGTTGTTGAGAGTCGCCGATTGGAGAAGATGAACGGTTTGGTGTTGTGTTGGTAAGAGTTGACGATTAGAGAAGAGGAACGGGTTCGTTTTGTGGTTAGGGTAGGGTTTCAGAGGGAGTGGAGTCAAATGGTGGAGAGATAGATGACTGAGAATATAGAATCGAGCGGTGGAGATGTGACAGTGTACTGATCAGACCGAGATGATCGTGGGTGAAGGTTGCGCGCGTGTAAATTGGATGATATATTATGGGTATTTTCGTCTGATTGATAATTTGAGGACTTAATGGAGTATTACATTTGTTTTGGGGCTAAATGAGACATAATATGTTGGGCTTGGACCTTTGGGTCAGTTGCCCAAAATTAAATTAAACAAAAA